TGTCCGGTATGGGAAGAAATAAGGCTTAAGGGGGTTATAAACCTATGAAAAAGTTGTAAGAGAGGCTGAAGAAACTAAAAATGCCTACTACTACAACTCAAAATCCATAATTTTGAACCGAATTGGGACTTTTGGGGTGTAGCCCCCTTCCCCCCCCCCCCCTTTTTTAATGGAGGGTGTCAGTGTGCTTAGATTATGTATAGGGCTTACACATGACTGAAGCTTTGAGTGTGTTATCTGTGTAGGCGTTTAAAGATGAGACAGACAATGAAGCAAGCACCTTTGTATTGTGTCAGTGAGTTGAGTTTGTTTTAAATTGGAATCTAATGTTTGTTCTTCAATGCAGCAATGCATCGTGTAAAATGCTTATTGGAAAGTCGCTTTAGTTTTTCATTACGTGAAGCTAAGCTCATTGTCAAGAGACTAGGACCACATCAAACAGCAGGATTTTTTCATCATGTTGTGGATGGAAAGCAAAAGATATATTCTAATCATGAATGGGTCATCATGAAAGGTGCACCGTTCAATCAAAAAGACACAGGTTAATTTGCTCAATATTAAATCCGAAGGACACAATGTATGTACGAGGGGCATATTAAAAGTTTTTCATCTGACCATGAAGGAATAATGGTAGTAAGCTGAAATTTGGTACAAACTTTAATATTTCTCTATGTAGTCGCCTCCCACAGTTATACTGTACAAATTTTACCATCAGTATTTAACCTTGAAAAGACCTTGAGAATAGGAGACCCTCTCTTTGTCAGAAAACTGGCCCTCTACTGCTTCTTAGACCCCATCATCACTTTCAAATTGCCTTCCTGTTAAATCTGGTGAATAGGGTGGATGTGGCAAAATTCTATTGACACTTTCTCGCGCGGTTTCTGCAGCTTTTCTTGAAATGTGTGCTGGCGTGTTGTCGTGTAGCAACAAAATGCCGTTTCGGAACTTTTCTCTGCGTTTTTCTTATATAGTCTCTCGTAATTTTTAAGCTAGTTAGAAGTTAGTATAATGGTCTCAGGTGATCGTATGTCTATTTTCAAGATAGTCTGTCATAATCACTCCTTCTTGGTCCCAAAAATACTGATAGTATCACTTTTCCACTTGATGGCTACACCTTTGACTTCTTTGGTGTTGGAGACGAGGGCGATTTCCAGCACATTGATGCAGATTTTGACTCAGGATCGTAGTGGTGGACCAGTGTCTGTTCAGGATCGTAGTGTAGAACCCATGTCTCATCCATGGTTAACAGTCTTTCAGAAAATGTAATTTCATCCTTTTCGTACAGACCAAGCAATTCTTGACAAAAATCCACACTTTGCACTTTTTGAGGAGGAGTCAACAAACGAGGGACCCATCTCGCAGAAACCTTGATCATATTCAAATGTTTACTTAAGGTTCGTTCAACTGATCCAATGCTAGGCCTAGTTTCTTTGCTCAAACGTTCGTCTGTCACCCACCTATCAGACAACACAAGTTTCTTGATTTTCAACACATTCTCTTCTGTTGTTGCTGTCACTGGGCGACCATCATGGTGGTCATTTTCAAGTTCAATGTCCATGAATCCGCATTTGAATTTTTGACACCAAAAATTTTATCACAGCATAGGATGGGAAATCGGTTCCATATACAGCTTGCAACTGTGTAAAATTATCCTGTAGTCGCTTGACCTGCAAGAATTAAACCTTCATTACTGCCCTGTGCTCAATTTTCTCCATTTTTATTTTGGAACTGGAGAACAACATACCCCCATTCACTTACAGTTCGCTGGTGTTAAAGCCAACAATCCCAAAATCCCCAAAATTCACATGTATTCTAGGAAGATAATTGTTGGCTTTCACTCCAAATTTCAGCCTACTACCCTTATTCCTTCATGGTCAAGTAAAAAACTTTTGGCATGCCCCTCGTACATGCATAAAGACGCATAGGCGTGTCCACTTAATTGGTTTCAAACGTGGTGTTGCCACTAGCAAAATTGTAATACTTTTTAATCTATTTATATTTTCACTTTGCCCTTTTTGAAGGCGTGTTTCACTGTCTTTTCTGACATCATGCATCGTTTACTTTATAATCTGAGCAATCTCAATGTCTGATAACGGCCAGCCTCACCCTCTCAACAACGCACCCGATGTCACTACTTGATAGCGACAGCTAAGTAGGCTCCTGAACATAACACATAGGCCAAAAAAATGCTACTAAATTCAATACATTGCAAGGAAACCCGACTTGGAATCTGTCTTTCAAGCAGGTTGTTTAACTTGTGTGTTGTACAGCTTTTCTCTTCCGATACTCTCAGTTCTATATAATTTATATGTCCAAAGGTGGAGAGCTAAAGTCATCACCAAACCCCGTCCCTGATATTTTTGAGTCGACATTTGCAAAAGTAGTGGGAATGAACTCTTCATTTCTGCCGGCGTGTGTTAAGTTGAGTTATTTCCTCTGATTTTTATTTGGCCCGGTGCATATTCAACCAATTTTTTTTTCATGAACTGACTTTTAAAAATTCATTGGTTGAATTCTCCGTTGTCGATTCAAACAATCAAGTATATATTTAAAGGCATTAAAATAATACTGTCGTGTTTCACTGTTGCAGATTTAAATGACGTTAATGTGGTGAGAACTATATTTCCCAATGGTTATGCCGAGTGGTTTCAGCGAGTGGTCGACCTCAGGGAACACAACACACCAGGCTTGCACACCCATGGTACAACTCCACGTATGAATGCGTGGGGGCGATAGTGTGTGTGTGTGTGTGTGTGTGTGTGTGTGTGTGTGTGTATGCATTTCTCTCTCTCTCTCTCTCTCTCTCTCTCTCTCTCTCTCTCA